ATGGGTGTAGGTGTAATTTACCCTTTTTAATTTTATAAGTTTTGACTTTTGAGTAAAGCTAACGACGGCGTTTGCCACGGGCCCACATAACGGAATTATGAGGTGTGTTGCAAACACACCTCTCAATCACGAAACATACCAAATACCCCATAATTGAAGGGTGTTTTTGCGACACACCCCATAATTCAGTGGTGAAAAGTGAATTTTTCCCTTTAAAATTTTAAAAGATACTCCAATACGGAGAAATTCATTCCTTCTATCATTAGTTCCTCCCAAACCTGCATTTGTGGGAATAGAGAAAATAGCAATGAATCTTGAAACACACTGACACTCCTTTTGTTGACCATTTTGTTAATTGCATTTAAGTCAAATGTTTGACTTAACCAAAACCCAAAAAATACATACACTATATACATACAAAACACGCACACACACACACACACAGAGAAGTGTGCTTTTCTACCCTCGAAAGCATAAAAACCTTGAAGAAGTTGAAAGAAATATTCCAAGACAAAAATAAAAACAGAGTTCACATGCCAAATAGGACAAACAAAAAAAAAGAGAAAGGCTAAAAAATAAATAGGGTTGTATTCTCTACTCAAAACTAGTGGTCATAACTTCTTTCTCTTCTCTAACTTATCTCTACTACCCGAAAAAAAATTAAAAATAAAAAAAGAAAGAAGAAATTGTTCTTGAATTTCCGACCGGTAATAACACGATAAATACATTGTTGTGGTTGAATTCGGAATCGGACAATGCTCGTTGTGGAGTTCAATTGCTCTCGTTCAATAATCTGCGAAAAATTCGAAACAAACCGTTACAAAGATTAGAAAACGCACGTTGAGGCGGAGAACAAAAAAATGTTAATCGTAATTACCGTCTTTCTTCTTCAATAAACCTCTTGCAAAGAGAAGGCAAATGACCAAAAACCCAACTCCGGCTGCCCCTCCTAATATTATCGCCACTGTTTTCCCCGTGTTTGGTCCCGACCCTATCGTTTAATCAAAGCACAAGTTACGATTTTTAATAAATTCAAGATTATTAATAAAAATAAAAATAAAATCGGGAGAGAAGGCCAAGCAAATCGATCCACCCTAGACAATTATTTTGTTTAAAATGTCGAATCTTGAAAATCGACGTCTCCCTTATCGAATATGCATTCGTCTTGAGGTACCGAAGAAATGCTTACTCGCTCCCGTTTCTTTTTAAGTGTCGTTTAAGGTTCGATGCAAACCAATCAAGAAAGCTAATTTAAACAATATTGATTTTAATCGAGAAAGAACGTTCTTATTTGACAAAATTACCCCTATCATTCTTGTTATCTTCATTGATATTGTAAAATCAAAGTTGGACAGAACACTCGATTTTTGTATTAGTATCAATATTAGTATTAATATCAGTATTAGTATTAGAAAATTTCAAGAACGAAAAAAAAAAAAAACAACATTAAAGCAAAGCAAAAGAAGTACTAATTAATACCTGAAGAAGAAGAAGAAGGAGCTGAAAACGACGGAGAAGACGATCTTTTCGGAACCCCGTTCGGGTAATAAGTGTAACCAATGTAGCACTTATGGAGATAAATTTGTCCGGCGACGGAGTTCCCGCACTCAACCTGCGCTCTCTGCACCGCACTCTTCACACACTCCACGCAGTCGGCGGCTCCGACATCCCCCTCGCACTGCCCCAGCGCGTAAACCGCCTCGTAGCTCGTCGCGAAGAACCCGCCGGCGCCGCCGCCGATTCCGTTCTCGAGGGAGACCAGGGCGGTGTCCCTCCGCTCCTCGAACCCGGCTCCGCCGGCGGCGTTCGCCCCGCCGCAGCTCTTGTACAGCATTTCCATCCCGGATATCTGGGCGAACCCGGAAACCTCGTACATCATGTAGCAGCCGAGGAGCTGGATTCTCGCGGCGATTTGCTTGCCGCAGAGCTTGTCGGTGAGAACCGGCAACCGGCTGACGCAGTTGTAGCAGTCCACGTTCGTCAGGTCGCCGCGGCATTGGAAGAGGCCGGTGATTGTGGTCTGGCCGCCGCCGGCGGTGGTCTTGAAGAACTTCGCCTTCGACGACTGGGCGACGAGCGTGCCGAAGAGGGAAGACAGCGCCTGCGAGTAAACCCCTGTCGGATCTGATAAGGACTGCTTCGAACAACCCTTGTACACTAATGTAGTGTAGTCTGCTGCAGATGTGGATTTCTTGGGAAGTTCGAAAATGGCGGAAATCAGCAGGAAAACAGACAAGAACCAAATGGGGTTTTTTTTGGGCAAACCCATTGGTCGGAATTTTTAATGAATCAAAGCAAGGGTTTTTTTTTTTTTTTTTTTTTTTTTTTTTAAGGATTCTTGATTCTTGATAAGATTTTCTTGATGGGTTTTTTTTTTTTTTTTTTCTTGGGAGATGGTTTTTATTGGTGTTGAGATTTAATTTCTTGGTTTCCACCACTTTATTTTTATTTTATTTTTCACTCGAGGAAAATAAAAAATAAAAAATAAAAAAGGGGGTGGGGAGGGGGGCCTCGATTTTAGGTTTTGTTGTGGTACTCCATTTGGGGGGAGTTCACTTTATTATGTTGAGAAAGATGAGTGATGTTTGTCTATCTATGGGTTTTTGCTCAGGTGAAGAAGAGGGTATCTTTTCTTCCTCTGTATAAATAGAGCTGTACGAATTACTTTTAAAATATATATATATTTTACTATTTTTCATTTTTCTCTATAAATTTTAGGTTAAATTATGTAAAAAACTGAAGTTAGGTTAAATAACGAGAAAAAAAACACCCCCACCTATCCATAATAACCAAAATCCCCCTCTGGTTAACAGTTGGTCGAGTTTTTTAACAGAGAATATACCTTCCGTTAAATAGGTGAGGGATAAATGAAAATATCTGAAATTGTGTAAAGTCTATTCCCTAAAATCAAAAAGAATCCGTAAGAAAAAGGGATTGGTGTAGGACGGAAACAAACCTCAAGGGATTTTTGGTAATTAGTAATTACAAATATGTTGGGGTATTTTTTGTTATTTAGTCTAAGTTCAGGGAATTTTCGTAATTTATCCTATATTTTATAATAATTTATATTGCAGGTAAAGTACGATCACCTTAAGGTAGTGTCAAATTACGAAGAAAAAAAAATCTCATGTTTGGATGATTACAACCACCTCTCAACTATGAATCTTCTTACACGTCCACCCTTGCGGTGTCAATTTTAGTGGAATCTTCTACATTATGTGGAATCTTCTACATTATGTGGAATATTCTCCAGTTTGTACCCGTTTTACCTTATTCGAGCTACGCATTTTGGAACATGATCATAAGTTGTATCTCATGGCTCGTAATTATTAGATTGTAATACATCAGAAACTGCATTTTTGCACAAAATAAGTACAAACTACAGAGTATTCCACAGAATCTAGAAGATTATAAGAATATGTTGAATTTGACACCATAAGAGTGGATGTGAAAGAAGATCCATAATTGAGGGATATAGTCTTAATTATCCAAACATCAAGTAATGTTTCGTAATTTAATCTTATCTCAAGTGTGGCCATAATTTACCGTAAAATTTAATATTTGAGGAGAATGGGATTTTTTTTAAATAAAAATATTCAAAAGTGGAGGAAAACATTCTTCACTGGCTGTAGCTTGTGGGGAAGAAACTAAATATAAAATTAAAAAAAATGGGGAGTTCCTAAGTGGTTTGACCAAAGTACTTAGATTATTACTATTTATAATTGGTACTCAGAATATTTGTCTTATTGATTGTTGTGTTGTATTAAAAAAATCAACAATACATTAATTATAATGAATAAAAAATAGGAAGTGGCCAAAATAATTTTATAGATCATATAGAGTTGTAGATTGATTAATAATTTAGAACAAAATAATTTCTCAATTAAAGCTAGAAATAATTAATTTGACAGTGAGGGGAGTTGTATTTAATTTGAATAACTGGTACTGTGACAATTAATTAATTAATTTATTTATTATATTTTAGAAGCCACAGTTAAATAAAACTGTACAAAAAATCTTGACTGACACAAACAAGAGAAAGGTGATAGTATTTAATTAAGACTAGGAAATAGGAAATAGGAATTTAATATTATTACACATTAAATAGTATTAGATGCCATGGCAAGATTGCTTCATTCAATGAGGCTATTTTAAATTAAGAGCGGGAATTTTAGATTTATTCAACATTTTAATGTACTATAGTACCCCTCATTGGACACATCACCACTTAAATCTTCAATTACCTATCAATCAGGTTGATGAAGCCTGAATGGTCCTAACAATAATAATGAATTGAAATGGGCTTTGGGGATAAAGAGGAGTCCGAAACGAAGGAAAGCTCGATCGAGAAAAAGTTCAGCTGACCTAAAGACCTGTCAAAAAAGAGTGTCGATGAAGGTTTTTTCGGTGTTAGCACTCAAACGGTCCAATTCAGTCGGGTAAATTGGGAAATGATATATCTCTTAGAGAAGTAAATAATGGTGTATTGAATGCAATATATGAAGAAAAAGAACATATGTTTCACTGTGTTTCACGGTTGTATTTATACATGTCATGTGGATGAGTCTGATGGGACCCCTATCTTATCAAGATACGATGCACGTGCAGGGTGTGTTGACTCCGTTGCGAGTTCATTTTACCTACTGAGACCTGGGTCGCTCCGAGATTGCTCTTTAAATGCCATAAACGTGCTCGTTGTTGGTTAAAGCCTTTTTTCAGTCCACGTCCAAATGCAGACTTTTTGCCCGTGTTTCAAACTTTAAGTTGAATGTAGTCACACTCACAACTTACACATACTCCATATGTGGAACTATTTAGTAGGTTTTAAAAGTTGTAATGGATGAGACGACTACGAGTCTGGGCCGCCCTTACACTTTATGTAGACCTTTGGACAATTCGACCCGTATCTCCTATTTATATTTCTGCTTATTCTTTGTTTAACTTTATTTATATTTTACATCTTAATAGGCGTTTACTTTCAAGATAAATAAAATACGGATATTTTTGAAGAAAGTATATATATTTATTAATCAATTGAATGCATTACGTCTAGAGGAAAAGATCAAATGTCCAAGGGACCAAAACAAAAAGGAAATAGTTGGAAATATGGAGTTCACAAATTTTCTTGTATATTCTTGTTATTAAGTAAATGACATTAGACACTAAAAACAAATAATAATAAAAAATAAAAAAAAGGCCTAGCATTTTTCATATAATGCAGAAATAATTAGTAACACCAGCAAATTATATATATATATATATATATATATATATATATATATATATATATATATATATATATATATATATATATGACGAAAACAACTAAAATTCAGATAAATAACCGGAAAAACACTCCGATTCGCCACGGTAGAGCATTAGTTAGTTCCTTAAGTAAGAGCTCGTTAAATAACTAGCTTAAAAAAGTTCATAATTCAAAACAAAGATTTAAAATTCATAATCCAATCAATTAAACAACAAGATCCAGATTTAAATCGAGCACATTACTAATTAATTGCCTTGGGTCGGAGACTTCCCGTTTGAAGTACTTGTTGTTGGGGTTTCTGCTGAAGGACCCGACTCTTTGCTAATCAACGCGTCGAAAGTCGCTGGATCTAAATAAGACTGGTACGGAGGCAACCTATACAAACAATTTGTAAAATTAGGCCTTGTTCGATTTTCAAGATAGTAATAACAGACGAGATCAAATTATGTAATCCTATAAATATAATTAGACTTGGGAGAGGTCCAATAGTTAATAAGATAAGAGTTCGTTTTTCAATAATTGCAAGTCAGCCAGAAAAACAATTATTGCACTAATCGAATAACGATTATGTATCGAAAAATAAAGAAGAGGGTTTTGTAATGTGTAAAGAGACTTATATTGTGTACCTGCTAGCTGTGATAGTTTGTCCGTCTATGTTCATTTTCACATCGAATATATTGCCTGCAAGAGTGGAAAATATAATTAATTATATGATGTAAAAGTTATAGGATAATATTTCCGATAATCAGTTTTTGTCTAGCTTTTTTATGGTGCTAATTAACTAGCTAGGGGTGAAAATCGGACCGATCAGATCGGACTTGGCACTTGCAGAAAAATTCCACTTTTATTGGAAGTGAAAAACTAATACAAATTATGTTCTAAAAAAATCAGAAAAATCGGAGATCGGAATTTCGGAAATTGGAATTAAACTTGTTCAAAAATCGTAAATTTTCGGATCGGATTCGGTGGAATTCGGAATTTCCAAAAATTTTCAGACATCTATAATATAAAATACATAACAAAATTGAATTTTCGGTAGTATTTTTAATTTAAAATCGGATCGGAAATCAGAATCTAGTATGTATGTATTCCAATTCCGTTCCAAATAAAATCGAAAGAATCAGAATCGGGACTTTTGGAATTTGGAATGAAAAAATGTTGTTCCAAAATCGGGAATATTCGGATCAAAATCGGCGGAATTAAAAAATTTAGTTCCGATTTCCACCCCCTAGTTCTAACAGAGGTACAAATAGCAAACGCAGAAGAAGAAAACAAGGAAAGAAAAGTCAAGAACCTGATCTAAAATCAATTATAAAGACTTTTTACCTCCAAAAATATTCTTGTCTGAGAAATACTTTGACATCAGATATTGTCTGAATTCAGCCTCGTATCTCTTGAATTTCTCGATATGTTCTTCACTGTCCATAATGCTGCAGAAAAACCAAGAAGACTGTTAAAAAACATGCTCCACAAAAAAAAAAATCGAAACAATAAGAAACATAAAAGGGTAAATTAGCACGACAATCGAATTAGTAAAAAAACTGATATAGAAGGCACAGAGGACTTCTATAATCAAACATTATACAGATAAATATTATTTTATAAAAACTCATTACAAACTTCGGTTTTTCAGACAGCTTCTTTGATCGGAGAATTTAGAATAGAATGTTTCTAATGCGTTTTTTTTTTCTACAAAAACATCTACAACACCAATCAATATTTAAGATTTGAGTTGATAAATCGCCATTTCTGATTTCAAGCAGAAAAGGAGAAAACTAATAAAAGCAGTCAAATCCAAGACAAACAAGAGCCAAGATTCAAAATCATCTTCAATAATGATTCCTTTTAAGAAACCACCTTTAAAATAAAATTAAAAAAGAGGAAGAAATGCGGCAGAAGATCGAGGAGGAAAATAATTAATCCCTAACGAGTGGCGATAAAAATTCTTCTTGGAAAAATGGAACAGAGAATAGACATAGAAAATTAGATCAATACCCGATTCGGTACATCAAATTAAAAGCAAATATTCGTAACGTTGCATAGAGAAGTTGATGAGTTATTTTACCTGCGGCGGATAGGCAAACGAGAAAACCCTAAAGAACACTAGAATTGCCTAGAAATGAAGAAGAAAGGTGGCGAAAAATAAATTTTATGACTCCACCAAAATACACTTGTACTTCAAATAGTAAGAAACGTGTCACTGCACATTTCTTGCAGAAAGTACAAAAATGACCCTCGTTTTGTGTCAAGTCATAGACGTTCAGTGATGGCATATCCGTCATATATCGACGACTCTCCGTAAAGTCCGGAATTTTCCAATTTTAACTTTTCGGGGATTTTAATAGGGGTGGATTTTCTTTTTCTTTTTCTTTTTTTATTACCAAAATACCCTACTGAGCCATACCGATTTTCTACCGAAATTGATATACAACAACTATTGCTACTATGCCGATATCCTTTTACCCTCGAGAATAAATATCTTACATTGTCCTCAATTCCTAGAAACAACTGCATATTATAACGACTGAGTATAGTTTGTGAACCCAGCTGCTTCCTTCGATTTCAAAGAAATTTCTAGTGTATCTTTCCCATGAAGTATTTCCACTTTTTATCCTTCAACACAAATCTTGAAAACTTTTGTTTACGAAGGAGGAAAGAAAACGTATTTAAAAACAATCAAAAGAAAAAATAAAAATACTATTCATCGTGATCACGAGAGCCTGAAATTTGTTACCAACATTAAGCTTCATTTTATAATCACAAAGAAGTTAAGCAACAAGCCGTAAAATCTTTCGAGATCTTCTAGAAAGAAAAAAAAATGAAACAAACATAATTTACTTTTATTTAATATCACTTCCGATATAGGTCAATTTATTTACAAGCCAATCACCGAGACAATTGCCACATGCACGTATTTAAGCAATAATGATGTGTGCCCCACGCAAAATCCGAAGTCATATTGAAATTATTTAAATCGCATTCAATAAAATACTACCGAAGCAAATGCCACAATCGTATTAAAAGACACAGCCAGAATTTATTTCGTTTCTCTTTCTTTTGTTTATAACAAACAGTTCAGTTATTCACTTACTGCATACACACTAAATGCATCACGAGTAATCATAAACTAAACAACTATTTACGTAAGCTAGTATCCAGTAGTGAAAACATAATCTAACGCAGCTACACATGAACACTAGATTTTGCATAGATTTTCAACCGTTTTTTCTCCGAAAATCATATGCAAAATCATTGCTCAATGCATAAAACTATTTACGTATGTTCAACTCATTACGTTCCTTAGCTACTAACTACAACTTTAACCTTATAGAAACACTTAAACAAATGAGTCATCATTACATTCAACTTTAAAAAAATGCCCTCGGGCATCAAAAAAACTTCCAATTAAAATGCTATTCAATTTCCTAAATCAAGGTTTTTATTGATTTATTTATTTTATTTTTTGGAAAAACATACAAGAAAAACAATCTATCCATCCATTTACGAAAAGCATGCTAATCTTGCACGAAAACAAATTCAAGTCGCGTGAAAGCCCTAGCATGCATCTAATTGAAAGATAAAAAATTGATGCGAGATCATGAAAATAAATGGTATGGAAATAACTCACTCAATTGGTTCTTCCTTGGGTTCTGTTTTCACCTCCTTAGAATCATCCATTGGTTCTGTTTTAACCTCATTCGGCGGCGGCTCCATGATTTCACTTGAAACATCCTAAGAAAAACCCCAAACAAAAGGGGGTGAAAAAGCAAATTTAATCAAAACCCTCATAATTTTCAGTGATCACACAAATCACAATTACCAACTCTAAATAAATAAATAAAAGAGGGAACCTGTGGTTGTTCTTGTTTGACTGCATCAGGGAGACTGGTGGAGCACTGGGAGTTGGTGGCAGAGTTCGGCGATGAAGCGGCGGCCGCCATTGGAGAGGGTTTCCTGATTTTTTTTTTTTTTTTTTTTTTTTGAGGAATTCAGGAGAACGCAATTCGTTGAATGACCTTGTTATATGAAATTCATCGAATAAATTTGTTTCCCTAATTGGAAGAAAATCGTCTGCAATAAATGCAATTTGGGCAAATTTAATCGATAAATAGTTTCCCAAAACAAATAAATTAAGAAGAAATTAATCAGTATTTATAGGCAAGTTTTCTATACTTCCGAAGTGAGGAGCACACTTTTTATGCTGCTGAGTGTTGGTGGGTAGTGGGTACCTGGCGCCAAAGTAGAGACACAACACTATGGTCGAAATCGGACGGATTACATCGGAAATTAAACTTTCAAAAATTAAAATGAAAAATTTTATTCCAAAATTGAAAAAAAAAAATTTGATAGGAATAGGAATAAGCGGGGATTTTGTAGAACCTACACATAGTGAAATACACTATGCAGCAGTTTTACACAATTGATCTATACATAAGAACACACACATATGTGTATTTGTGCTCAGTGGATAGTTATTTATGCAGATCTACGGTTTTAAATCACATTATGTATTTCAATGGGTGTAGGATCTTATAAGCCGAATAGGCGGAGTCGGAATTTCCATCTTTTAAGTCACATATAATATAAATTTCCAATAATTTTGATGAGTGTAATTTTCGAGAAATAAACGAATATTTTCCACAAATAAAATCGTGTCGTAAATTGAAATCTAATGTGTATTTCAATACTGTTGTAGAAAGATCAAAAATTGGGACTTCCAAATTCGGATTAAGAAAAAAAGTTCCAAAATCAGAAATTTTCTAACAGAAGTCGCAAAATTTCATTCCAGTTTCCACCCCCGACAACAGAATATTTACCAACATGCGTTTCCAAAAATAATTTGAAATGAAATTATGTATAATGTTCAAAATACTCCCAACTTCTAAAATAATAACTATCATTATTTCTTGAAGTACTGGCACACACACTGTAAATAGTTTTAGTCGAATTCGACTAACTATTTATTTTTCGCAAATTTTGGTTGGACGATTAAATCTTTTACGTAACTGTGTAAACAGTATAACGCGTATAGATATAGAATATATAACTGCATATCACGCTATGAAACTAGTCAAACAAAGTGGTACACATAAACTGGTCTGAACATATAGAAGAATTTGATATTAGCAACTAAAAGCAGAGATCCTACATCAGTAAATACTTCAGGATGGAATTTTCCTACACAAGAACCACGTTTTCTATTGCAAAACCAAGAAAATAAAATGCCGCATCGAGTTGGTGTTATTTTTAGCTCACTAAATAAACCAGGATTTTGTCGATTGAACGAAACTTCGTAGGATTCCAACTATGGCCAACTCCTTTTGAAAACACAACCCAGAAACGGCAAATTGCAGCAGAAAGAATAGACATTAAATAAACCGCAAAATACAGATTCGAGTGTTTTTGCTTTCAAGACTCTGCTGATGGACCAGCATCCTCCTCTGGCAGCCCGAATATTCTGAGATTTCTATCCATTGATCCAGCAGCAACGTATTTTGCGTCGGCACCAAATTTGACACAGTTTACTTTACCTGCATTTCGTGGGAGTGGGCATTATTCACCCTAAAGTTTGAGCAAGTAAAATACTATAGAAGTATTTAAAAAAAATATATAAGCAAAGGCTGTAGTAGTGTCGTGGAAATTAGTGAAAATGCGAGGCGCCGGAAAAAAAAGTCCCAAGTTCAGGGAGAAACATCTCTGTGCAGGCTTGTGAACATACTCAAAGTGCATGTTGGATGAGAGAGAGAAAATTTACCTGTGCCAGACAAGTCGGGTAATATTTTGATGCAATTCCAATCAGATTTGACGTTGGCAACTTGGTAAACTCTGCAATATACCATAAATTAAATGACACCCACTCGCTATAACAAAAGAAGATGAGATGCACACACACACACACGCACACACACACACACACACAGAGACGCAAATCAAAGTCGTAAATGGTACTTCAAGAGAATTAACCTTATATCTGAGCCACCTAGCGCAAGGTAACTTCCACTATGGTCAAATTCCACTGCAAAACAACGTCAATATTATATCAGAAATATATTAGACAGTTCTCCACAAATCAAGGATGATAGAATTTATTTCTCATAACGACTTATTTACTTAAACCAATTAAAGTGCAGTACGGCGAAATTTACAATTGTAAAACGACCCCCTTAAACATGAAATATTTTGGTAGTCTTTCTTTTTTGTATCAAAACTAGCATAAAATCAGTCTGCTTACAGAACCAAGTACTTCAAAAAGTAAGCATCTCAAAATCCCAAAGAACAAAAAATACCAGTCATGATAGAAAAAATTTACCCGACTGCGTAGCAGTATTTTCATCATAAGGAGACAAAGTCCGGAAGTTTCTCAACCTGCGCAGATCCCAAAGCTTAACACCATCGTGAGCTGCAGTCTGAAAATTCAAACAAGATGATTATAACATGGGAACTTATGTGCGTTACATTGATCATTTGCTAAGGAAGGAAAACGTACCGCCAGGAAGTAACCATTCTCCGAAAATGAGATGGCAGTTACTGCCCCTTGATGCCCATCAAACCTCGCGACATTGTTCTGCACATTGTCAGTGAAATTCAAGATTACTTGATGTATCAAAAGTGACAAAAAGGGATAAATTAGTTCATAAATTACAATTTAGGATCTGCACCTGACTTTTTACATCCCAAATCTTAACAACAGACCCAGCGGTACCAGTTCCAAGGATGAGACCATCGGGATGAAAAGCAGCAGAAGTGTATCCTCCCTCCGAAGATCCTGAAGCCTCTTCAACCTGCAAAACCCTTATAATTTTTTCAAACCAAGTTCAAAAAAAATAATAAAAAAATTCATTGCATGTAAGATAAAAACTGAGTTGTGACCTGAGCGAGGCATAAACCAGAAGCAAGATCGTAAAAACACCATGTGTTGTCGAGTGAAGCAGTGACAAAGTATTTATTGGTCGCGTGAACCGTAACAGCTTGCACCTATAATGAAAGAGAAGCATGCTAAGAGAATCAGATGCCAAGCATACAAGACTAGAAAGATCCACAACAATTAACAAGCTGAGAAAGAAATTCGTATAATGAGTAGACTTTTTGCAACTGTTTTCATATTTTCTACAATAACATAACAAGTCTCTAGATTTTCTGAATTTGAGTGAATGACTTAAATCTTGAAGATCATTTTTACTTGGTAACTCAGCTCAAATATGCATAAGGAGATGGTTTGACAAACTTAAAAGGCAAGAATAATATTAGCCACATATGTACAAGGTCTTTCTTATAGCCCGTATCTGCTTCCTGCTACTCAATAATTGAGATTGTTATATTGCATTTATTCTTAGAAGCAGCAGAACTAAAGTTCACGTATATCACGCACCAACTACTGCATGAAGAAAAAAGAAGAATACAAAATGAAAAAACACATGTGGAGAGATGAAATGAAAATATGAACTGAAGAAGTTGGTTGCTGTATTTCAAAGATCATTATGTAACAACTTGCGGCCATATACTTGACATTTCAAAATTCACCAAGAACTATCATCACAGCATATACTCAGAATATCTCGATAAGAAGAGACAAAAAATGGAAGAGATAGTTTAGGGAATATTTTTTGGTAAAAGAACAACCAAGCCTTCTAACTAATACATATAAGAAATTTCAATAAAATGTTAAAATAGATCAGAAGAAAAAAAATTTCGAAATGTTTCCACAAAATGCATGAACAGGATAAACATGTCTTGGATTAACTGAAAATTGATGTTATGATGCATTTACACCAATTAATTCTTCAACTTTAATCTCTAAGTATCTTTGTTATTACTTATTATGATGCCAATTAAGTTTGATGTGCCAAAGTTTTATTCAACTCTTATTTCAATTACAGATATTCATCAATAACTAGAATACATCACCAACATTCTCCAGTGATGTATAATGCAAAATTTCAGAATCACAAGTTCACTTGACAGTGCCACGATAACACAGTTAACGAAGGTGCTTAATAGAAAAGTATAAGAATCCACGACTAGCAAGTTAATTACCTCAGCAGTATGATCCTTCAAAGTGTGGCTACACTCAAAACCTCCATCTTCGGATCCTCGCCATAGACGAACTGTCTGCAAAAAGCAGAACAATATACTTTCACAAATTCAACTACCTATTGAAAACATTAGTAAAGCAGAATGATATACATAATGTGAAGCAAACAATTAATAGTAAGTTAACTATTAGGCAAACAAAAATTACTGGTTAAAGTGGAACGAAAATAACTTTCAGCAGCAACTGAATTTTTCAAATCAAAGATGACCCCAATTAGTACAAGTTTAAAAAAAATAATATTAAGTTCATTTGACACCCCAACCAAGGAAACACAATATTTATGAACGGGTTGAATTTGCAATATGGCTTGTGAATGAAAAGGTTCCAATTACTATTTAGTATTTCTGAACAAAACAGACGTATTATTCTCGAAGCAAAGCTAAAATAAACCCTGATTCAGTTGAGAACAAATAAAATTTCCAGCTCTCTTGTTACATAAATTTCCAGTTGAGAACCAAAGGTTCATGAATCCAAATCTCCATGTAAGGAGATGTACATAAGAATGAAACAAAACATTCAGGAAAGGTAAATCTTTTTTAACTGAGTGGTCTCCAAAAAGTACTGAAGCACTATCGACAGACTTTAAGATTATAATTAAATTAAATAAGAAACATAGAAAGATACAAAAGCACGCCGCAGTTATGCCAATCTATGATTATATAAGCAAAAGGGGAGGGAAACTTTTAGGAGTATTCATTTACCTTATCAGCAGAGCCAGTAACAACAACTTCACCCTCAGCAGCAAATTTGATACTCGTAACCTACACAGGGGAAGAAAAAGGGATCCAACTTAACAGGGATCGAGTTCAATAAATTTCTCCGAAGGAGACAGGAAGTAAATTATGTAGCACCAGTCTACCTTCTTTGAATGGCCACTAAGAGTAGATACTACTTGGCCTGAAGGTCTATCAAACACAACAGCATTTGAATCAGCCCCAGCAGTCGCAATTATATCCTGAAATAAACATATAAGAGCAACATACTTAATCCAATGAATGATTTATGTTTAGAATCAAATCAATGATTAACAGTTGATTGACCATTATAGACCTATTCTAGAGCCAAATGACGAGCACAACAGAAGAAAACAGGTTAGAAACCAGCTATGAAGTAAAGGAAAATATTAAACTAATATCTAATCATATCATTCATTCTCAATGAGTCCTTTCTTCAAGAAATTATTTTAGATTATTTGTGCTGTTAATATTCTAACAAATCACATACATTGTTTCCTGAATGCTTAAGTTATCTGAAGCAGAGACATCATAATTCAAGAATAGCAGTCATCCACTCTATTAAACTGACTGAAAAATGGAAGAAGGAATCTGATTGAACCAACAAAGAGGCAAAAATCACAATCCACTCCCCAGTAAATGAATGAAACAACCTTGGGATATACTAGTGTTCATCTTCAGCTGAACCTATGTTGCTGAGGATGAAATAAATTTCATTAATGTCAATATATCATGTGGTACTTCATTCCAGATTTAGGTACATCTGAAAACAGTAGTTTATGTTCTAAATGGAAGGATATTTCCCCTTGAAGCTTTTCTACTAATAAAACAAAGGACCTCGTTCAATAAAGCATGTCAGAAAATTGAGCCTTCCATTTTTTTTTTTTTTCTCTCTTTTGTTTTTTGGCTTTTTTGGACAGAGCCCAAAAACGCGAGGAAACCCACGTCACTAATAATAGAAGAAGAAACACATCTATGCATGAAAATCAGTTACTAACGTTATAATGCCTGATGTTACAGGTTGAACATACATCCTAAGCCAACATGATAAGTTATGCATTATTGGAACAGTGCTCACAGTTCACCATCAGTACTTAACTTCTCAAATTGAGATGTGCTAAGAGACAATGAAACAACCATAAAGGAAGAATAATAGATAGAATACCAGAGAAACTTCCTATACCTTGGAGTACAGGATGTCCATAGCCAATATGCCAGGTTTGTTGGTTCGATGAAGAGGATTTACAGTGAGCTGAGTGTACCTCTCCACATCCTCAACTGGAGCCAATGTTGAAGGTATCTGGTATTATAAATATATATATATGTTTATTATATATCATAAACACGATAAGCAGAAGAAAAATCTGATGAAAAAATTGGATCCATGGCCAATCCTATGATTCCTATTTCATCTAGAGATGCTATGTTGTTACTGACTTTACCTGTCGCTGCTTCCTTTGTTGTGAAAGAACAGCATTACAATCTGTAAGTTCAGAAATGATACTACTTGAGATTCCTGGGCGACTTCTTTTGCCATCTGGGCCCGTTTCACCATCCTCAATAGCTGCAAGGACAACGGAAACACGAATTGACATCCTGTACAAGAACTAAGAACTTCAAATAGAATGAACTTAAATGTTTAGAAGTCAAGAACCTCTCTTCCCATTGGCCAGAGCAGCAGCATTGACTGCATCAGGCATGGCTTCTGATGCGGGTACATGTCTTTCAGCCTGTGCTAAGAATGCCCATGCCTCATCCCTTTCCTTCTTCAACCTCGCGATTACACGACAAGCAGCATCATGCTGAAAGGAAGAGAAGGAAAATTAGCAATCACAGAATATCATGCCAGAAAATAAAAGATTAACTTACTAAGCATCTAAGTAACTTGAAGCTACCTGATATAGGGCATGGCTTAGCTCTTGCCTGGCAGTATGTAATTGTTGTTCCAATGCAAAATTTGACAGCATTAAGCCATCCCATTCCTGGTTTAGAGAAAAAAAGTTCGAAAAAATTAAACTACAAGTTCTTATTCTACTTTTCCCAAGCTGATGAGACGGATAAGTTAGAGCAAACAGGAAAAATGCAAAAAAAATGAAAAGTGAACCAAATTTTGGTTCAAGCAAAATATTCCTACAGTACCAAAGGACATCAACTAAAGAGACAAAAGGAGAAGATAATCGGAAGGAAGTCAGCTAATTGAGAATTGGCTCTTCCCAGAATAACAAATTCAAAGTTTTGATGATTTACAGATTTACAGCGTTGCAGTGAAAATTCTAAGTCAAAAAAAAGTTACACCATAAAGATTCTCTGAATGCAAAAGGTAAAGATTAAAGATCAAAATATAAACAAATATTTGACATGTTGAATTTGGAGCATTGTATACAATCTAGTTTTTCTATGCAGTTAAATCGGCACCGTTTAAATTTGTATAAGTAACTGATAGGAAAGAAGCAAGGGAACAGGACATACAATCTGAAACATTCCCAGCATCCCAGGAATACTTGCAGCCTGCACCGGTCGGGGCTTCACTATCTGCAAAAAATAATGAAGCTCTTAATTTCTTCGCAATTTTTTTGTGACCCAAAAGGATGTGTAATCCCAGAAATTTACAAAGGGGTCAAATATCAAATCCCAAAATATTAGACATTAGAATAAATTACATACCTTTCCAGTCTTGATTGGGACAATATCATCCACTGTCAAAGGCTCTCCAGTAATTGGACACTTTCCATAATCCTAATTAGATCAGAAAAACATAACAATTCATCTTTTATCACGGAGAGATCCAAAAACATTAAATATTAGATGGATGCTTCAAGTTATTGAAACCATGGACGGGTCTTTTCATCTCATGAAGCAAATAAAAAGAAACTAAAACTATGATAACAATCATTACAAGAGATCAAAGTGTCGCCACTTACAGAAATTCATCGAGATCAACAAAAGAAGCTATATTCCGATACATATTTTCACCATATTACATACTCCTAGTTTACTTTGGAACACAATGATAGATCTAGGAAATCACGTCATGTCATCTAAGCAGTGTAGCTAAAAATACAAACTACTATGCTGCTTCTGAGTTCAATCAGAAGATTATTCTAATTTTATCTTTGTAGACTACAATCCACTAAACATTTTCACAATTCTTATATTTCAACCAAGATTTCGAAACATATAAAAAATGGAAAAATCAAACATCATGCTTGAGAAAACTTTATTTTCTCTTTAAATTCAAGGATTATTCACATACTCTTTAACGGGCAAAATTTCCTATACATACTTTCACCAACTCAAATAGTAATACTAACACTTAATACTACAATGAGAGATTTATGAATCACACCTAATTTCAGCAAAATTTTCCTATAGCTGCCTTAAACCACATTACAGAAAACTATTTTTACCAATCAATCATTACCACTTAAAATGAAAATATTCAAGAAATCAAACAACCTCTCTTCAGAAAATTTCACCTACTCTTCATACATTACCTCAGAAATCGGCCACAATTCAAAAACAAATAACTCAGCCACATAATGAAATTTACAAGTTCAACCACACACTATACGAAGCAGTATTATTATGCAGTAAAAAGTTACGAACCAAAATGTGGCGCTCAATTAAGCGCTTCTCGAATAGGAGACCGGAAGTTTTCGAGACGACGGGCTCCTCCGGGACCTCGCCGGAAACTGTACGGTCAAGATTCAACATAACAGATCAGATAAGCCAAAACGCCCAATCGAAAAAACACACACACACACACACAAACATACATATACAGAATACTAATTACATTTAAATATGCTGGTAGTAGATGAATGAGAGAGAGAGAGAGACTTACTTGAACAATTCATGGTGGTCTCTCACTGTGTGTTCTGTGTGCGCTAGGGTTTATGCTCGAGAGTGAGGATTGGGGCGAAGAGAGAGAAAGAAGAGTGAGAAACGGAGGGAGGGATGAAATATAAAATTGAAAAATAGTAAAAGAAGTAAGACCCGACCCTAAGATTAGGGCAAATTGGTAATGCCAGATCGCTTATCATAACGCCAGAGCAAAACTCCCATCTTTCCCTTATTTACCCTTTGCTCGTTGACCAGTGACCACTACCTGTACCCCGTAAATTCACTAACATACAGTGTAATTCTCAAATAACCCTCAAATATACCTAAATTACAAAATTTTCCATCTTATTTCTAAAATTACAATTATCCCATCAAATTAATAAGGGCACCTCCAACAATAAACTATAAAACGTAAGATACTATAAGTTTTTAATCTGTTCAACAGTGTTTTAACAAGCTATTTTTTACTGCTCCAACCACATCATTTATCCTTTAATATTTTATTTTAGTTTATTATTTTAGTATAAAATGGCGTCGTTTAACAATAGAATACAAAAAAAAAAAAAAAAAAACAAATATGCTTAGAAGCATTTAGACAAAAATGGAGAAAAATAAAAGAATGGGAAATCTCTCAAGGGCGACGAAGAAGACGGTTTCACCTTGGAAAAAAAATAACAAAATCGAATTGCTATTCACGTAGGAACTTGTTTTATTGTTATTAATATTATTTATGTATGAGACATTCAATTCTTGGTTGAAGATTTTTTTATTTCATATTATTATCTATGTTAGCCTGGGTTTGGCAGCAATTGTCCACATGGTGGAAGTCCGAGTATGGGCGGCCCACAATCGAATGTCGTGAGTGCTTGTGTGTGTTGAATGAACTATAAGGCTAAGGTTTGCGCATTTCCTAATACCAATTAGTTTTAGAACAACTGGTAGCGCCTGAGGTCCTACAATCTACAATACGATTAATCTCATTACAATTTGACAATCTACAATACGATTAATCTCATTACAATTTGAAGGAAAAAATAACCACCTAATTCCATTCCTATCTACGGGGACTACCTTATTAATTTAATAAGGGGTAATGGCAAATAAGCCCATGACAAGTGCACTTAATTAAGAGAGGGACATCCAACTTGTTTGTCTTTCAAATAAATCCAGTCCATTCAAACTTATTTGCAAATAAGGAAAATCCTTGTATATATACCAAAATTACCCCCAATTCATTGAAACCCAATTTAACTCCAATTTAATGATTTACACCCCAATTTAGCCCAATTTCATCAATTAACCAATTTTAACCATAATTTTAATTTTGACCCCAATTTTGACCCGCCACCACCGGAGACCCCCGGTCGCCGCCGTTGACCGCCGGTCTCCGGCGTTGACTTTTTTTTTTTTTCTTAAAAAAAATATTTTAATTAATATTACTGTCTTGGCTGCTAAATTACTGTCTCCGGCAGTTATTTAACTGTCGGAGACAGTAATTTAACTGTTAATTGACTCTTTTTTTTTTCTTCAAAAATATTTTAATTAATATTACTGTATTCGTTGCTAAATTACTGTCTCCAGCAGTTATTTAACTGTCGGAGACAGTAATTTAACTGTTAATTGACTTTTTTTTTTTTTCTTCAAAAATATTTTAATTAATATTACTGTATTCGTTGCTAAATTACTGTCTCCAGCAGTTATTTAACTGTCGGAGACAGTAATTTAACTGTTAATTGACCTTTTTTTTTTTTCCTTAAAAAAAATTTATTTTAATTAATATTACTGCATTGGATGTTAAATTACTGTCTCCAACAGTAATTTAACTGTCTTAGACAATAATATTAATAATATTACTGTTCGGAAAAATAATATTCATAATATTACTGTCCCAAACAGTAATATTACTGTCTGAGACAGTAATTTAGTAGCCAAGACAGTAATATTAATTAAAATATTTTTTTTCTAAGAAAAACAATTCAAAAAAAAAAAAAGTCAACGCCGGAATCTGGCCAGAAAAAAAATTATTTTCTGAAAAAAATAAAAGTTTTGGGGGTTAATGTGATATATTTAAATTCGGGGTCAATGTGTAATATTAAGGAAGTTAGAGTATAATGGGTGGAATTGATAAGAATTATATTATTGAGGGTATTTTAGACTAAAGACATGGGGATGGGCTTAATTGAGAGACTGTTTTTTTTGTGGACCAAAATGCATTTAAGTCCCATGTGATGGGCATTTTTGCCATTTGCCATTAATTTAATATTTTTTTAGCGGACGAGTTAAATGATAGATGACATGTTGGAGCGTAGTTTTTTGTTTGTAAATAGTAAATTTGACTAAATTTAATTTTTTTTTTTAACATGTAATTGACACTTTACACCTTCAAATTTCATGTCATTGACACTTTTCATTCTTAAATTGAAAAATGGCAGAATACACCCTCCAATTGCAATTTCTTTGTTGCCAAAATGAAATCAAACTGTAGAAAAAAGGGTGACATCAAATTGAGAATATGGGTAAAATAATGAAAAGATTATTAGGTGATTAAAGATTTTTAAAATTTTGAAAAACTAACCCTTTTCAAATCCCATAAATAGGTAACCGGTCAAACTTCTAGCTAAAGGGGTGAATGATGGTGCAAAGTGTCAAATAAAATATAATTAGAGGATGCATTCTGCAATTTATTTAATTTAGAGGTGCAAAGTGCCAATGCCACGTAATTCAAGGGTGCAAAGTGTCGAGAGAGAATTTGATTTGGTTAGACAATGTGTGGTTGGTAAACAAGGATCGGTATTTTAGAAAGGTGCGGAATATATCGTCCAATATTCAATATGATTCCACAAGATCCAGTTTCGTTCAAGTAACGGATTCTAACCAACTGAATCACTTCTTTTAAACAGTCAAAAATAACAATGGTTGGAGATGCTCTAACGAAAATATGAAATCTCAAAATTGTCCTTAAATAGAAAGAAAATGAACAAAAAATAGATATTTTAACTTACAAATAACCCCTTGAATTATGTTTATATTACAACCCCTCCCCGAATTTGCGAAATTACATTTATCCCCTCAAACTAACAACCAATTACAAACTCTACCGAAATTTTTGAAATACCTAAATTGCTCCAAAATAAGAAAATAATATGCAAAAATATTTTAACAATAAACGTATAATATGCAAGTCCCATCATTTTTTAGTTCAATTTGTCCATTCTCTTTTATGAATATATATATTTTTTTTCATATTCATCATTACCCATATAAAATATTTATGTTTAAAATTTATATTATAACTAAATTCTATAAACATTTTCTATTTTTGGCTTTTTTTTTTTATGAATATCTCTAAAAAAATCGGAGGCGATGCCCATAGACACCCAAACATTTAACCAAAAAAAGAAAAACATCGTCGCCCCTGCTACTGGCCCCATTTCAACAAAATCTATAAAGTTCGCATTGGGCCTCGAAAATCGTAATAACGGGCTTGCACGCAATTCGAGCCTTTGCCACGGGAAAATTACAGCCCGAAAAAAGATTAAACAATATTAGTGCTAACTTTATAATGAAATGACATAAATCAACAAAGTGTTAGTGCATAAAATATTAGGCTAAGTTGGTGGAACTGTATTCCAATTCCATGACAAAATCAATTATATTCCACTAGAAAATAATAATCTTACCTTGTTGGCAAAAGCCAATTAATCCACCTTATTGCCATCATTTCACTGTTTGGAATATGTTTTGTTCTATGTAATAATGTGACAATTAAGGATGAATTTATTGAAATTCAACAAGAACCAGAACATAATCTTATATTCTTGCTCAGCTGATCTTTCACTATATATATACACGATGCAAATTACGGCCAACCTCTGTGGTAAAGTTAAATTACAAAAAAAAAAAACCATCATGTTTAGATAATTATAACCACGCCCCTCAACTATGAATATTCTTACACATTCACCCTTACGGTGTCAAATTTAGTGGAATCTTTTAGATTATGTGGAATACTCTCAAGTTTGTAGTCGTTTTACCCCATTCGAACTCCATATTTTGAAACAAGATGGTCATAAGATGTGTCTATTGGATTGTAAATATCAGATTGTAGTGCATAAGAAACTGCATTTTTGCAGAAAACGAGTACAAACTAGAGAACGTTCCACGGAATCTAGATGATTATGTTGAATTTGACATCATAAAGGATAAGAAGATTCATAGTCGATGGGTGGTTGTAATTACCTAAACAATAAGAGTTTTTTTTCGTAATTTGACATTACCTCAAGGGTGGCCGTAAATTACCCGTATATATATATATATATATATATATATATATATATATATATATATATATATATATATATATATTTCTTGGATTCGATTGGTGAGCAAGTGTTTTAAGGATAAATGGCATCGTTTGAATGTGGATAACATGAATCAAAAAACCTTTACGAGATTAGGGAACTGTATTGATTCTTTTTTAAATAACGATTTGACCTCTTTTATATAATTGTGTCACAATTAAAGCATGCCTTTAGTGATAATTATAATTATGCTGATGCAGTTTTGAACTAACATGTGTAATAAAAAGATTAAGGAATAAAAAAAGTTAATTCAGAGAACAGTCAAAAGGTTTGGCCAGGTGTCTATGCAAGAGAGAACAGTTAGACTCCGATCTAACTCCGAAATGTTTCGGAAACCGAAATTCCATGATACTTGTTGAAAATGTTTTGGGGCCGTTTTTGTAAATATTTAAAAGTTTCAGGAACGGTTCTGGTAATAAAAAAATGGAAATGCGTTTCCAGAAGAAAGAAAACCAAAATTCATTTTAAACAAAAACTCAGAACTACATACGCTTAAAAAAATCTTAAATCTTATGTGTATTTTTCACTTGTAGCGGTGTTCTATAATTTTTGTAGATGCTAATTCAATACTAAATAAATTTACATGCATCGAATATAATTTGTGGAATGATAATTCAAATCATAACTTGTAAATTATAAATAATTTGTAGATGCAAATATGTAATAATTGATAAGTATATATAAGGGTTTTTTTTTATGTGGTAAACAAATGGAAATTTTATTAGGCATAATTAGCCAAATTGGAAGGAAGGATAGATCCTTCAGTGCAACTTAAATCAAAACCGAGTAGCGTGGCAATGAGCCAAAGAAGTATCGGAACGTCTAACAAAAGAAAAGTCGCAAGAATGAAACGTACTAAGTAGAGAAAAACAATCAGCTATGAAAACACCTATGGGAGCTGACGAAACAATCCTTTTGAAATTATGAATGTACCCTTGTATGTTTAATATTTACACGTTTCATCCACGTTCCTGTATCCAACTTTTTGAAAACCGGAATTTCCCGATATCCTCGTTCCCGTGATCACATGAGATGTAATATCTATAAGATTCAATCTGCACTAACAAATGATCCTATTTTCATGTGGAGTAAAGTAAGATCACCAAAATCTGTTATTTCACAAAGGAAGCTCCACAAACAAGGGAAGAAGCATAATAGGGTAGAGTAGACAACCGAATTTGAATTTGCAGTCAACAAAAGAATCCATCTATCAAATTATCTTTTCAACTAGATTTGACCATTATATCCACTTTATTCTATTTATATCAAATTTTTATTTTATCCAAATCAATGTTAGAGTAATTTGCTTTATTTTAGCTGTCATTATTAGTTCATTAGAAATTTTCGATTTTGGAACAATAATATTTAATTTGAATTAAAAAAAAGTTAATTTATGGTATTTTCATATTTTGAACTAAGGTGGTGTTTGCAAAAACTTATTTAAAAACAGAAATTAGTGATTGTGAGTTAAGTTTGAATTAAGTGTTTATTAGGTGCTTTTAAAATGATAGCTTAAAGGAGCTTATCTTATTAATAAAAGTAAGGCTAAAGTAAGGCTGCTTGTGGTAAACCCTAGGAAAATTTTCTCGCTCATTTGATCTTATTAATACCCGCTCATTTGATCTTATTAATAAAAGTAAGGTTGCTCCTGGTAAAACCTAGGAAATTTTTCTCGCTCATTTGATCTTTGTTGGGTGCTAAATACCAACACGCAAGTGTACGTATCGCAAACAAGTAGTAAAGTAGACTCGTGAGAGTCGGATGTCGATCCCACAGGGAATACGCAAATTACCTAATCCTAAGTACCAAATCCTAACAATTATGATTTTTATTCAGCCTACGCAGGGTTGTCAATTTAATTAACTAAATAAAAGAAACTAATTAAGAAAACAGTTAAACACGAGAAAATATCAATATAAAACGGATCTAGGATTTTATCTTCCCCCTATGCGATAATTCTTCACCCAATTAATCTCCTATCATGCAAGTTACGATTCCCGATTATTAACCCAAGACACGAAATTACTCATAACCAGCTGTCGTTGTGTTATAAGCCTATTATTCATAAAAGATTCACTATATGTCTATGAAAACCTCGTATAAATAAAGCATTAAATAACAAGTCTCGTAAACGGCTACCTAAGGTATTATCTGTATGTCTACGATAATACATGCAATCAACACACGCATTCGGTGAAAAACTACTCGAAGGCTCTTCTATCCCTGTTCTAATTATTAAAACGATCTGTCAATCAATTCTAACAATAACAAGTAGCAACATAAATTAGCTACGTTCATGCGCTAAATAAGATCAAGATAGAAGAAATAATCGAAGAATTAAACTTGCATAAAAGTAGAAAAAGAGGTTCGAATTACCGCATAGGGTTCCAACAAAATCCTAGAATAAAAACTTAGCTACTCGTAATTCTTATGATAATCAAAATAAAAATAAAAGAAATAAGAAAAACTATGCTTGAGTCTTCGTTGATCTTCGTTCTTCGCGTTTTGTGGTGTAAAATTTCGTTCAAAGATCATCCCTAATTGTGTGCTTGGGTTGGTCTTATATAGGGTGAAGAACTTGGGGAAGAAGACAGTTTCCTTGTGCAATTAAAATCCCTTTTCTGCGCCCTTTCGTGAACCCGGACGGCCGTGCGAGAATAAGCTTTGAAATCCGGACGGCCGTCCGGTCTTTAATTCTTCAGAGTTTTGATTTTCTCACTTTTGGCCCAGTTTTTCTCCGAATTTGCAGTTTTAACCCCAAAAGTTTCCAATTCTTCAATTTGTACCTAAAATACAAATAATAACCATTTTAAGCACCAATTATCATTACAACACACCAAAAGCCCCAATTAAAAGGTACAATTAAGTGTATAAATATACACTTAACAATCTTATTAATAAAAGTAAGGTTGCTCTCCTAGTAAACCCTAGGAAATTTTTTCCGCTCATTTGATAGTTATAATTGTCATTTATTTATTTAATTATTTATTTTTATTATTTTATTTCATTTAATATAATCAAGTTTAATAAATCCATTAAGTATCCAGACTTTTTGACCCAAAATCTACGTATCGTATTAATAAAAGTAAGGTTGCTCCTGGTAAACTCTAGAATAAAAATTCCGCTCAGTTATAATTGTCATTTATTTATTTAATTAATTTTATTGATTTATTATATTTAATATAATCAAGTTTAATAAATCTGTTAAGTAACCAGACTTTTTGGCCCCAAATCTATGTATATTTTCCCACTAAAATTGTTATTTTACTTAATATTAATTTTATGGAAAATTTATTTAATTGTTTAGAAAAACATTTGGTTCTTATCTTATTAATAAAAGTAATGTTGCTCCTGATAAAGTCTTGAGATTTAAAGGCATCATTGATTTACAGTAAATTTACTGAGGCCTCTTATGGGTGATAAAGAAGAAGATTCGTCAAACTTCTACATTAACTAAGATAAGATATATATACAACCATATTACATCAATAACATAAAATTAAATTAATGAATATTGTAAAAAAAGTTTATGGATCGGTGATTATCATCAATGCATATTGCAAAATATCAAAATGAATTGAAACTTCAGTTTTGTCGTTTAAATTGAACTTTACTTTGTATTAATTTTTACTTCAATCCCGTGCATCGCACGGGCCAAAAATCTAGTTTTGAAAGAAGGAAAAGTTTTGCAAACACCTAAACACAGATTATGTGCCCAAAAAAGCTCATAATCTATTTCTAAAATCATTTGCAAACACCACCTAAAATTGAAATACGTATGAGATTCCACTTTTCGATCGAAGTTTAGTTTTAAAAATAATTCAAAAAATTGCGACTTTTCCCCGTTACTCTTATAATATCAAATTTATGATGTATTTTAATTATATTACAGACGAATAAAGAATTGAAATTTTTGAATTGTACCAATTTCGATCCATAACTTTGTTTTTAACAAGTTTTTTCTTTCTGATTTTCGATATTTCCGAATTTTAGTTTCCGAGTTTGTTTGGACGAAATCGAATTTAGTTTTCACTATGTCCTTTTATGAAAATTAAGAGTCGACAAAATAGGAATCAATATATGTGAATAAAATGTGGTGGTATTTAGGTAGTGTTTGCAAAAGCTAATTTTAAAGCAGAAAAAAATTAAGTGGGTATTGAGCGCTTATTTTTATAAAGTTGCGGGTGTTTGTAAATATTCTTGAAAATGAACATACATAGAAAATACAGATCTAGGGGTACTATTAAAAAAATAGCGTAAATCAACTTAAATTAAGAGAAACAAACACAAAAGTTGATTTTACAAAAACCTAAAAATAAATTAATTATAAACTATAAACAAACTCAGAAGTTGTTTCTAAAAGTTTTTGCAACCACCATCTTAAATCAAATTCAATAAATAACTAATATGTAATTTCAGGTGAAAACGTAATTTCACCACTTATTTTTGTACCCTTATATTAAGCAATAGTGTGTGCAATTAGTATATAGTGTTCCTTCATGTGTGCCTAAAAATGTAATAGAACCAAAGATTAAACAACTAATTATTCTATGTGTATGATTTGTCTCTATAATATATATGCTTACTAATTTTTGGTTAATACAATTGATTTGACAAATTAAACTAATTAAATGACTAATACATAAACATTAAGAGAGATAAAACTTAATTTCACCTACGTCGGGTGATTTTTTTTGGTTGATCTACACACGTCAATGTGAGTGTGTGTGTTCGTCTGTACATAAATGGTAAAAGATCTGTTCGGTGTATTTCACTCGGTGTAACATAATATATAAACCAGATGAAGTCAATGGTTGAAATCATCAACATCATCTATTTTGAGTATTTTGTTTGCAACATTTTTTTTTGATAATACCAATTCAATAAATAAATTCGAGAAAACCGACTATATCAAGTTACGCCTTGATGGAAGCACTTAAATTTGATGGAGTAACTTATACGGAAAAAATCTGAAATCGGAGTTCCATAAACTCGAACGAAAAAACTTATCCTCAAAATTGTTTTTTTTTTCTCAAGCAAAATCGGATCAGGAACTGGAAAATTCAATTTCTATACACTTATATAATACATAATAACATTAATATTATAAATCAACATCTAATATATATTCCTTTTACTATAAAAAAAATTCAAAAAAAGTAAATGATTTTTTTCAGAATTTGAATTTTTTTTTTTTAATTGATATATATCGGCAGAAATAATCAGAAATTTTGTTCGAATTTCCAACCCAAGTTAAAAAAAAAACAAAGATCCTTGTTGTACACTTACATGTCATTAAAATCAAATAAATCCATATTATATAGTACCAAAAAATATTGGGAGAGAGTAAGTCATTGGCCCACCGGCAACCTCGGATTGACTCCGATGTACGGACATCCCTCCGAGCTTATATATTATAACCAACTTTTATTTTATTTCACTTAATTTCTTAACTTCTAAGCAAGAGAAAATAAATAAAAACATCCACCACATGCTAAATATAGTGAGTTCTTTTTCTTCATCCTCATTCTAATCTCTTCATTCTTCTCATAATTAGTTCTCGTTCGATCTAGATCGAAAACAAAAAAATTCTTTCGGTTTGTTTCGTTCGTCAAATTTGAGCCTCGGAAAAAAAAAATGTGGTGCTTGAGAGAAATGATGTGAGCCGTACGATCGTCTTTTCTTGGCGTGTGAGAGGGATGAAGCCGATCTAGATCGATCCGATCCCTTTTTCGTTCCACGAAAAAGAAAAAAAAAATCGATTTCCATTGTCTTTTTAGAGATTAATGAACAATGTTTCATAACATGGTTCATTCTCATGATCTGCAGCTTTCGATTGTAATTATTTTCGCATTTAACATGCATTCGTGTTATGCGTGTTTGTTCATACATGCATGCATGTTTATTTTGTAGAAAAAACAATCGTGTTATATACAAAAATAACCATGTTTAAAATTATTTTCCATGTGGTGATTTGAATTTATGTTCGATCTTTGAATTTTTTTTTTTTTTTTTTTTTTTTTTTTAAAATTTTGTGGGTTTTTGCCGTTTAAGATGTTTTCGTTTTTTTTTTTTTTTCGGAAATTATTGCCATTTTGTTCTAGTAAAATCTTGTTGTTTTATTGTATGTATTTTTCTTGAGCTATAAGTTTATATCCACAAGTTTGTGTTTTTTTTTGAGCTATTAGCCCATTTAATTCCTAAATGCCTCAAGAAAAATACATACACATATACATACAAGTTCTTATTCCTTACTCCATTTTTTTTTCAGCTTATTTCTCAAGTTTTTACCAATGTTGATTCCTTCATTCAGTTCTGATATATCAAGAACTCTATATATTATAGAATATTATGCTTCAAAAGTTCCCAATGTTTGTCCAAAAATAGATATTATTCCATCTCTTCCCACAAAATTAAAAAACACCATAATTAACTAAATCTCATCCATAGGTATTTGTCATTCACAATTTTGTTCAATTAATTCTACGAAAACAAGAAAAATATTCCGAAATACTTACCCGAAAAACCATATATATATAAATTATTCACTTAAATGTTCATGCTTTATATACTTTGATCAAGCAATATTTATTTTCTCTATTTTAATTTTCTCGGCGCAGGAAGAAATTTCGAGCCCTCTTGGAGCTCAAATGTTCGATTTCTGCGAATCCGAATTATTCCCCGAGACTTTTCATAGTTCCGAAGTTGTATCGAGTTCCAATAATTGCTACTATAATGAAGACCTTTCCTTTACATCCATTAAAACTACAACAACAGAAGATCATACAAACGATCCGTCGCCACCGCTCGCCACAGCCACCAGCCCGCCGCCGCCGCCCATCGCCGCCACCGGAAACAACCACATCTCCATAATCTTCGATGAAGATGATCTGGAAAACGACATCTCCGCATCCATAGACTTCACCGCTTCTCCCTCCTTTCCGACCCCTCATGATCACTATTTCAGCAATAACAACAACAACAATAACAACAGCAGCAACGACGACGACAACAACAACAACAATAATAACAATAATAATAACAACAGTAACAATAACAATAATAATAATAACAACAACAATAATAATAATAACAATAATAACAATAATAATAACAACAATCAAGAACCGTTATTCGACCATTTCTCTCTAACCAACCATCTCCCGTTGGGAGACATAGCGATCGGGGCCCACCACCATTACGCTCACGAAAGCTGGCCGATGTTGACGGCGGCACCACCGCCGCAGGCGGTGGTGCCGCTCATGGCTCCGTCGGCTTATAACGAAGATGATTGCTTGCCTTCAATAATGCCATCTACTAATTACCTCCGGTTGAGATCTTCTCAACCGGCGTCGTGCTCTCTTATGGTGGACCCCATGATGGCGGCCGCATATCTGCCGCCCGGCCCGTTTGAAAATTCGGGCTTTTTCACGGGCGGCGGTGGTGGTGGTTTGATGATGGGGGGTGATATTTCACATCAAGATTTGGATTTTCAAGGTGACGGCGGTGGAATCTTTCTGAATGATACCATGGCTAGGGCCTTTAATTGTTCCAATGACCTTCAGGTATATATATACATACACACACACACACATGTTTTAAACATGCAAATTAATCTATGTTATTTAGTTCTTTTTTGTTTTATAATTTTTTTTATTATTTCTTATTGTTAATATAATGAAGGGAATTAGTGGTGAAAACCAGCATATGGTTCATGGAGGAGTGAGTAATACTAGTTTGTCATCAGAAATTTCAAGTTTGGAAGATCCAACATTTAAAGTGGGAAAACTCTCTGCTGAAGAAAGGAAAAAGAAGATACATAGATACATGAAGAAGAGGAATGAGAGAAACTTTAGCAAGAAAATCAAGGTTCTCCCCTCTCTCTCTCTCTCTCTCTCTCTCTCTCTCTCTCTCTCTCTCTCTCTCTCTCTCTCTCGCTCCC